CATTCCCATTCACTCCCTTGGGGCGGGGATGGCAGACCAGAGAGGCCTAGCTTGTGGCTAGGCCTGGGGACAGTTGGTCCCAAAGATGAGGAGGTACTTGTGCCTCCTCCCATGGGAGACTTATGTCTCAGACACTCCCTAAAGAGGGAGCCAAGGCCGGGCCACCACTTGGACAAGGCCCGGGCCGGGAGAGTACCGGCTAATCTTTAACTAACTAACTAACCTGCCTTGAAAATGGGTATTACATTTGCCATTTTCCACTTATCAGGCACTATGCCAGTTTGTAGTGATAGGTTGAAAAGATTAGCCAAAGGTATGCTAAGTTCTCTTTACATTCCTTTAACACCCTTGCAACAGTTCAACAGGGCCTGGGGATTTGTTAGGTTTTAATTTCTCTATTTGTCTGAAGACCATGTCACTAGTTACAACAATCGTGCATAGTTTATTATCGTCCTGTTCTACATAATCTATTATTTCTTGAATTTCGTTAGTATTTTCCTGAGTAAAAACTGAGAGGAAGTAAGTATTGAAAATTTCACACATCACCATCAGTGATCTGACCTGAGTTACTCTTAAGTGGGCCAATCTTGTCCCTAATCTTACTTCTGTATACCTGAAAGAACCTTTTTGGGTTAGTTTTTGAATCCTTTGCGACCTTACCCTCATGATCCCTTTTTGATCTTCTTATTCCTTTTTTTATTTCTCTCTTTAATTGAATATATTGATTTCTTACCTGCCCATCCCCTCTTTTGATACACCTATATATGGCTCTCTTTTGACCAAAGAGATGTTTTAATCTGTTGTTCATCCATTTGGGATCATTTTTGTTAGATCTAATTAGCATACTGGGAACAAAAAGTTGTCTGGGCAGCTAGAACTATGCTCTGAATAACGTCATATTGGCAACCAAGATCACCTCCCTGTCCCATAGTCAGGGCATCCCAATTTAGCCCACCCAGGTAATTTCTTAGTCCCATGAAATCGTCCAAGCAAAAGTCAGGGGAGAGATTTGATTGTAGTTGTCTGCGTAATTCCATGATAAATTGAAACTAAGTGATTTGTGATCACTTTCCCCAAGCTCATCATTAACCTTAATATTTTTAATTAGTGATTGTTTGTTGGCAAGAACCAAGTCAAGCAGATTATTTCCTCTAGTTGGTTCTATCACAAACTGTTTTAAAAAGCAATTCCGAACCGTATCAAGAAAGTCACTAGACTCAAAATTTCCTATCATATTGTTCCAATCAATTTGTCTAAAGTTAAAATCTCCCATTAGGGGCCTGAAGGGCAATTAATTGTAGCTCTTTTGTTTACCGTCTGATTTCCTCCAGTTTTGGTGCACAAGACTAAGTGTTTTCACACCGTGTAAAAAATATTTGTCAAAAATATACCTCAAACAACAACTGAGAAAAGACAGAAAATGCCCTTTGGCAGGAAGGTAGTCCTACATGGGACGACGTAAGGTAGTTTGGACACTTGGTGCCCAGAGAACAAATTCAAATTCAAATTCAATTCAAATTCAAATTCAAAGTTTATTCTCTATAAGGATTACAATGCTGAGTTTACAGAAATTTGGTTATTGTTTGGTTTAACATGTAGTAAAATTGAGATTACAGAGTGTACCACTAGAACGCTTAGCATGGCTAGGCATTTCGGGCATACTTAGTTTTATTCTTAAATGTAAAATATTACAAATTATGAGGTAAGTTGGTATTATGGCTAAGTGACTAAATACTAGTTTATGAGTTTAGCAATGTGAATGCTTTTGTTTTGGCACAGTATATAGTTTCAGTATTGGAGTATCACAGGATTCATTATTTTTAAGACTGAGATTAAATTTTGTTTACGGTCAAATGAGTGAGCGGTGTAAGTGTGAACCACCAGGTGGTATTTGTGTAGTTAGTTGACGGGGTGTATCAGGGAGATAAGATGTTTTCTAATGGTAGTTTTGAAAGGGGATGAATGTGTCTGCAGTTCTAGAGTTCTCAGGTAGGGTATTCCAGATTTTAGGGCCCTTTTACATACATTGAATTTTTGTAAAGGTTTAGTCGGACACGGGAATGTCGTGAGATGTTTGTGTCTGGGTTATGCCTGTGGGTTCTGTCACAACTATCAAGAAAGCGTTTTAGGTCAAGGTTGATATTAGAGTTTAAGGCCTTGTAGATTGATTGCACAGTAGTAAGTGTGGATGTACTGAACTGGGGGTAAGTTTAGATCTTTGAAGAGTGGGGGGGGGTGCTGCCAGGGATGGGATTTTGTGATTATTCTTACTGCACTTTTGTTGGTTTATTATTGGGTTTAGGTGTGTTGCTGCAGTTGATCCCCAAGCACAAATAGCATAGGTGAGGTATGGATAAATAAGTGAGTGGTATAGTGTGAGAAGGGCATTTTGCGGCACGTAGTATCTTATCTTTGGGGAGGATCCCAACCGTTTTGGGTACTTTTTTGGGGTATATGCTGGATATGGGTGCTGAAATTCAGGTTGTTGTCAAAGGGATAAGCCTAGGAATTTTCCCCCATTATTTCTGGTAATTAGAGTGTTGTCAATCCCTTTAAAGTTAATTTGTGCATCTCCTGCTCTGCTACCAAACTAATATAGTAAGTTTTGTCAGTGTTAAGCGTAAGTTTATTGGCTGTCATCCAAGTCGATATTTTAATCAGCTCCTCATTCACAATGGTGTTGAGGGTGGCAAGATTAGGGTGAGAGATGACATAAGTCGTGTCATCAGCAAAGAGAATGGGTTTCAGGTGTTGGGATTCGTTTGGTAGGTCATTGATGTATATGAGGAAGAGCAGGGGACCAAGGACACTTCCCTGCGGAACTCCAGTATCAAGTGGCCGTGTTGCTGATGCTGTGTCTTTAATGGTGACGTACTGATACCTATTAGTTTATTCTCTATAAGGATTACAATGCTGGGATTACAGAAATTAGGTTATTGTTTGGTTTAACATGTAGTAAAATTGAGATTACAGAGTGTACCACTAGAACGCTTAGCATGGCTAGGCATTTCGGGCATACTTAGTTTTATTCTTAAATGTAAAATATTACAAATTATGAGGTAAGTTGGTATTATGGCTAAGTGACTAAATACTATTTTGTGAGTTTAGCAGTGTGAATGCTTTTGTTTTGGCACAGTATATAGTTTCAGTATTGGAGTATCACAGGATTCATTATATTAAGACTGAGATTAATATTACTGTTTATGGTCAAATGAGTGTGCGAGTGTAAGTGTGAAACCCACCAGGTGGTATTCGTGAAGTTAGTTGACGGGGTGTATCAGGGAGATAAGATGTTTTCTAATGGTAGTTTTGAAGGGGATAATGTGTCTGCAGTTTTTGAGTTCCGGGGTAGGGTATTCCAATTTTTGGGGC